CAGAAACAGTTTCACCAGGGTGTCGTTAGCCACCCTTCGCGACAACCGTAATCGTTGGGAAGAAGATGATCCACCTTACTTTGCCCTGTCATGTACTCTTGTGCGCTAGACGTGTCTCAGTGCTCATGACTCAAACGGAAGGTTTGACTTTGAGTGAACGGACGTAACATATACCGACCTGCAAATTAAAATGCGCAAATTCACATGTGTTCACTCGCATTACTTACTATGTGACACGTAAAACAAGAAGGATATGAGTGATCATGCTGTGAGGACACCTTTTTGTACTAAGCAGCACTTTTAACAGCTGCCCGTGTTCAGCTATTAAAAACGAGCGATACAACGTCTATCATACCATCTCCTGATAGGTGACAAACTATTTTTGACACCGTGAATATATCAATGATGGCAGTACTGTATCAGCGCCGCTACAAAATAACGTGAGCGTCGTGCGAAATTCCATTCTATCTACCAATTTTACAATTATATACAGCCAATGCCGGTTAATTTGGCCACTGGCTAATGGGCCAGCTGTTTAATTTTGAAAAATCTTATAGAGCAGAACCCAATTGAGCAAATGATTCAAGATTTCTTCAATTGTTTGCAATAACGTGACGTTTAGAGGGACACAAGAGTGAGGGAAAGAGATGCTTGCTGACGCTTGAAAATGCTTATCAGCTTATCAGAAAGCTCGATTTGCGTATTGGTTCCATATTCTGCCTTATCTTTCCCTTTCATTTTGTTCTTCAAAGCTTTTCTCTGGGATGTATGTAAATGACACCCGAATCCGATCATGCAGCTCATTACCTCCTCAATGTGTTTATAACTAACATCAGTTATGTGCACGTGTGTTATCTTTCATGCCAAACTCACAATAAATCAGGAAGTGCCGACTTCTTCAGTGCTCTGATTTGTAATAATTTGTTGTTCATTTTATAAATTTTGGATCCTTACCAAAATGCCATGTAAAGGCTTGTCACTAGCCAAAGATACTGTTTTACTGAACCAAATCAAAGGCCGTTCGGCCATCACAATTCGTTGTCGTCTGGCAGAGATAACGAGAGTTCTGAAATCTATGATCGCACGTTTGATAACAGGAGAAACTGCGATAACAATGGATACGCGATGGGAAACATGGAACATCCCTGAAACGGAAGTGTGAAGGCAAGGTTCCTGAATTTGACGACGCTTCGAATCAGAGATTCTCCACTGTAACTGGGCGATGAAAGCGTGTCAGTGGTCCGTTATTAAAAATGAAGCCGGAAGTGCTAGCTGAAGCTTGACAATAATGATTTTATAACAGCAGATGGTTGCTTGTCTCGACGGAAATGTAGGCACCAAATTAAATCGAAAAAGCGCACGGTGGAAAAGATAGTGCTGATGCCGCAAGTGCAGAAGAATGGAAATTCAAAAAAATACCTGAATTACTTCAAACATTTTTTGCGAAAATGATACCTATAGTTCTGACGAAACAAGCCTATTCTATCGTGTCACTTCGCAGGGTTCACTGCGCTGCAATCAAGCAATATTATCCGGTTTCAGGAAAGCAGTGGATCGCATAGCTGTGCTACGCTGTTCAAATATATCAGGAACTAATTAAAAAATGCTGTTGGCTATCGGGGAAAACGCTAAGCTTCGATGCTTTAAGGGGCTAAGAATGGACAGTTAACCAGTCTAGTGTTATGCTAACAAGAATTCAGGATGAGGACCGAAAGTTGTTGTTGAACAATAGCTTATGAGGTGGGATGTGGAGCTGTAGCGAAAAAGGAAAGATTCATCTGATTCATGACAATTATGCGGTACACCGTCAGTGTTCAGACTGTTTGAAAACCATCCAGCTACAATTTATGCCTGTCCACACAACACCATTATTGCAGGCAATGGATATGGGATTCATAATAAATTTGAAGATGACAAGTTGGTTAGCCACACCATAAATGTGATTGAAGAAACTTTACTGACACTTTCTTATACAGCCAGGGAAGTAAGGTCAAAGATAACCTTCTCTAGGCGATACAATTCGTTGCCGACTGTTGGCATTGAATGGGCATTAAGCCAATTAAGAACTGTTTTATCAATGAAGTTTTACGCATTCAGGCTTGGAGATGAGAAAAGGATAGGAAAAATGAAACATTTCAGGATATTGTCAATATTGTTGAGTGTTACAATGAAAATCAAAATTTTGAGGATGAAATCATTGAAAGCATTCCATCAACGCACCAAGACGAAGAGCTAGTAGGTGAAGAAAGTGATGAAGATGGCACATCTGAACTTGAACGAGTGACTACATAGGATTCTAGAAAAGTTACTGATGGATTACAACGATACTTCATGTTTCAAATACTCTGGTGAGGAGGATGTGTCAGGTTGTTTCAACTGACGAAAAGCGGTCACACATTTGCTTTCGTGTCAG